AGATTTTTTTCTAAACACAAAGCTATGGGTGCTAACCTGTGAGATATATGTTTCAACTTGTGTTGCCTCATCGCCAAACCCTTCTCGTCTTGAAAATCTTTTCCTCGTCTGAAAAACATCTTCTCTGAACATGGATCAGTTTTCCGGTAATCTAAACACTTGTTTTTAACAAAAGTTTTTTAGATTTCAAAGAAATGTTGACTAAATTCGGAAACTCATTTGCATTGTTGAGGCAAACACAAGAACTGAAAGTCAATGAAAATTACTGAAACCTCAAACTCGCTCTATTCAATCTAATGCTGCTGAACAAACTTCTAATTTTTCGCCGTTGTAAGAAAATTCTCAATGGTGTTGACCAAGAACCGAAAACCTATTCTATCGCTCAAAACAATCTTTCAAATGAGAGTGGACCAGTCACAAGACTCTTCTGGTCTTTTGGCTAAATCTTAATCTGTTAGTGATGATGACAACTCAAAAACCTATTTTTCGTTTCGGAGCAACTTTTTTTCTCCTTCACATGAAAGTAAGTGTTTAAATTTTCATAATAAGTTAACAAAAATTAATTTTCAGAAGTTGCAAGCAATCAAGCAAAGACCCACGACTTAATTTTTCCTAACTGGATTGTGCTAAGCCAAGGATGACCAAGATCAAAAGACGTTCCTTTACGCAAACCACTTATGAGTCAAGCTATGAAACGCCAAAAGTCATCTATCTCAATTGAAAAAGATGAAGCCGGATGAATATGTTTTATTACAATTTTAAAAACTTGTTTGTTTAAACTGTCATTTATTAATAAATAAATTTATTTGTATTGTATGTGAAAAGGAGTAGCATGAAAGTGGTGGGCCAAACAAAGCCCAGCAGAAAAAGCAGGTTTCTGTTATTTTCTGAAATCTGCTTCAGAATTTGTTCTGATATATATTTCGTAACTTCTGAAATATATTTCTGATCGCACGTTTTTTAACATAGATTTCAGAAATGAGATTGTTGTGAAATATATTTGGCAACCGTTTTTTAGAGTGATCCCACTGTTTACATTTACCTGTGGTTTTTACTTAACAAAAAGAAGAAGAGCAAAAGAAGCTCAGTATACAAAAGTAAAAATAACAAAAAATAAAGAAGAGTATCTAGGTGAGGGAGAGAGTATAATAGAATGAGAATGGAAAGAAGTAGAGTAAACTGATCACCAGGTCAAGGTGAATGTGACAATGAGAAAAAAGTGTTTGTGTACTTGGTTTGTACAGCAGAAAGCAGTTCAAACGTGGTGATACGACGTAGTTGTTACCAATAGGTGGTGATAGCATTGATTGCACCCTTGATGATGCTGATGCTGCTGCTGGTGGTGATGAGCGCCAAGTCTCAGTTGGAGAGCCAGAAGGGCAGACAATGGCCGCCACCGGTGAGAGGGAACTGATTGAGTTGAGTTGAGCTGAGCTATTGAGTCACACAGAACAGCACCCAATTTTGCAGGTTGTTGTGCAAACAGAATGGAAGTTGGGGCCAAATGATTAGTCGTGGCGTTGCCCATTGTGTCAGATTGTTGTGTGGTGTGATTGCATATGCCTCTGCAATTCAAATGCTGCTAGTGTGCCAATTAATTGTCACTCCGCTTGGCGGCGACAGATGGAGGTAAAGCCGACTCAAGGTGACATTTTTGAATTTTTTTTATTTTTAGCATTAATCTGTCTGAAACTGTCTACCACTAGAAAATACTCTTCAAGTTGCGGTATATCTGCTTAAGTGTTTTCGGGTGCTGAGTAGTTGAGGAGGAAGATGAGGTGTTGCTGGTGTGATTTCCATTCCCGGGAAAGGCTGAACAGGCGTCAGACTGTGCCCTTCTCCGGTTCAGATCGTGATTTAAGGTCATTTTTTGCTCTCCCATCTCCTCCTCATCTTCGCCATCAACGTCCATTTTCTGCACCTCACCACCACCACTGGAACCGGAAGTGTGAGGCGACAGTAGACTGGGGTTTGAGCTGCTGGCGCTGATCGTCGTCGTCGTCGTTGATGATGAGGACTGTCCCTGGAATTGGCGGTTCATCCGCTTCGCCACCTGGTACACCTGCTCCAGGTCGGCCCGGGCGGAGGGCTCCAGCACCAGACAGGCGTCAATGATGGCGGCCACCTCGGGTCGAGAGGCGGCCGATCCGGGCGGTCCGGTCTGCGGGTAGCTGGTCACCGGGCGGTACTGTCGGTGCTGGATTTTGCGCATCAACATCGCCAGCGACTGGTTGTCCTCGTAGAAGGGCGGGTAAAGGGTGACCAGCTCGTAGAGCAGGCAGCCCAGCGACCAGATGTCTGCGCTGAAGGTGTACTCCAGCTCGGACAGCCGCTCCGGGGCCATGTAGTAGGGCGTGCCCACCAGGGAACGGGCGTGGTCGCTGGTGGCGGAGAGGATCGCGGAAAGGCCCAGATCGCCCAGCTTCACCGTTCCGTCCTTGTTGATGAGCACATTGGCCGGTTTCAGGTCGCGGTGCATCACCCGCTTGGAGTGCATGTACCGCA